GGAAGTGTTTTAGAGTCCATATTCATGTTTTTTGAAAACTGGTACCAGTAAAATAAATCTTAAAACATCACTTTTGCGTTTTTGTTTTAAAACTATTGAAAACAATGTCACACTTCTTTTCTAACTTTCAACCTGAGTGCTAATTCTTTTTCTTGTGTTTACATTTCATACACAGCATGGACGCTGAATGCAGAGGCTTCACTTCTTGTTTCCTGTTTTTGGTGTATTTTTGTGGCTGTGTTAGAATGCCCCCCAGAGGCATGGCATAGCTACAACAGCATTTTGGTTATTTTCTGTAATTCTGTGTAAAAGAAAACGTGTTATTAAGTAAATATAAAACATGGTGCTATGCTTACAAGATTTTTATAAACAGCAATTTAAAAAGAAAAAGCATTTTTAATGGTGTTTCCATGTGGACAAGGCCATAGCTGTTCTGTCATCTTAAAATAACTCCAGTCTCAAAAACTTTTTGGAGTAAGTGTCCTATGCACTGTGGGTGCTACAGCTAGCTGCTGCTACTATCTGAGTTTGAAAACAATCGTAGAGATCTTCGTAAACTACAGCATATTGTGAAATTAACTGAAGTGTAAAAGTTTATAAAATGTAATTTAGATAAAAGTTTACTTTTGTTTCACGTTGCTAAATGGCAGATGCCATCCACTTTGACTGTTCTCAAAGCACTAGCTAACAGACTAGTTGTTAGCTCATCAGTTCTATCAGAAATAAACTCGTATTTATTCAAAATAAAGGTCATTCAAACATCTGAATGATCGCACTAAGTGTTTACAACGTTCGGTCAAAGAACACCTTATCAGTCACAGCTCCTCTGTCTGCCTCCCATGAGTAAATCAACTGCCTAACCATGGAGACATTTTTATTTGACAATTAAAGTACATGCTGAGGACTTGCTCAGCAGAATGTGTTTGCCGTTCTATCACTTAAGCTGTCTTTGCGTCAAGTCTTGACAATAATGAGGTGAGTGAGGTGCTGAGTATGGTTTGCCCCTCTCTTTACCAGTCTGATTCGGGTGGACTTAGGAGATTTGCACCAAGCAGGGGGAAGAATGGATGAGAGGACTGAAGGCATTAAGATGAATAGCAAAGGCAGAGGGAGAAAGAGAGAGAGATGTGCAAATGGAGCAGCGTGTATTTACATCCCGGCAGTTAAAGCAAGCCCACCATCCCTCAGCCCCCCCCCACAATCCCATCTTAAAGCACTTCTACCACCATCCCCTTTTTACTCCCTCCATGTCTCCCATTTCCTGTTTTTAAAGGTCTGACATGCACAGGCTATTTTTAATAAAAATGAAATAGTATTGTTGCACTGAAGTGACTCAGTGCAGAGTGAAGTGAGACTGAAACAGCGATTTGCAATTTGGGGCCATGTCACCACTCATCATTCCATTTGGAGCCAGCAACAGCAAATCGTCCTCACGCTTTCATTCTTTATCCCTGCCTTATAGCCCCCCCCCCCCCCCCCCAAAAAAAAAAAAAACACCCACCCACCCCCCCCCCCCCCCCCCCCACACACACACACACACACATCTCCAAAGACTTCTAACAACAGTGAGTGACATGTACTGCTGGCAACGTGGGCTTTGGAGCAAAGCTGGCAGGGAGAGACACACGTCGTGAGCTCTGTCTTTGCTAATGCACAATAACCAGGGAGGACAAAAGGATTTTGGAAGCGCCACTTCTCATATTTTCATAGACTTAAGATGCTGGCAAACAGATGTAGAACATGATATGTTACATATGGATGGCTGGTGTAATTGCATAATAAAATTAAAGGCCTAGCATTCCTTGACAAAATGCCCAACACCCGGCCCCTAAGAGAGCCTAAGGCCATCTAATGTCAAGAAATGACTGTTCCGAAGCCTTAAATAATATTGTTATAATAATATATTTTATAAGTTGACACGATCTGAGCAGTGGCGTAAGAAGCACATATAATTGTTACAATGCCTGTGGGTTAGAGGATTTGATTTGAATGACTCTCAGCTGCCCCCACATCAAATTTTTGTTAAATGTTGTGAGACTGACAATGTATGTGTGTGTGTGGGGTGGACACACTGGTGTGTGGGGTATGGGGGTCTTCCCTCAGAAAATTTTCAATAAAGTAGATGCCATTTCCTGCATTCTGGTGTCAGGTTGTTTAACATCTACATTTACCTCCATAAGTGAACACTTGATTCAATAACTATGTTAGAGAGCATGTCAAAAGAAGTAGTCTGACCAACAGCTCTCCTTGTGTGAATAAAGCATGCTCTGCTTCCTCTCACGCATCCTGGTAGTGCTAAGCTAGTGGCACACAATACAGACGTTAGCTAAGATGCAACAGACGTAGTGCTCCGCTTCTCTCACACATTCTAACATCCTAGCCCCATCCCCATCAATAACTGCCAGCACTAACGTGGACTAAAGCTAGCATGCAACACAGAGGTCCCCTTCACATATAATTGTTACAATGCCTGTGGGTTAGAGGATTTGATTTGAATGACTCTCAGCTGCCCCCACATCAAATTTTAGTTAAATGTTCGTGAGACTGACAGAGCCAGAGCCATTTTTGTGTTGGCTAATATGAATTAGCTGTGGAAGCCATCTTAAATTAGACTGATTTCAAAAGGAATTAGTTGTAGATATGCAAGTGTAGTGAATACTCTGCACGTTTAATCAAAATCTGTCTTGTGGCTTTTGAGATATTTTGCTAAAAGCTAAAGGGGCTTAGCTCCAACAGTTAATGCTAAAGTTTTGAACAAATATCTTCCACAATGAGGAGCACTTGGAACATTTGTTGTGAAAGCCTCTCAGCTATACCCACGTTCAATTTGAACACATCTGTGAAACTGACCGAATGTATTGTCTAAGCTTGGTTAGCTGTGGCAGCCATCTTGAAATGGGTTGGCTCCAATACCTAATCAGCTGTAGAGGTATATCCAATGGCTTTCTTCTGGAAATTACATTTTTATCAGTCTAGTGGTTCATTAGATATTTTGCTAACAAACAGGTACTGTATAGGCAAAACTCTTGTTGCCTATACAGGTATTTGCCTGCAGTAGGTGGGTGGCTTTTGGAGAAATAGCAATGAACGAAGTGACATTTCTGTTCCTTCATTCAAATGTTCCCATGTCTGTTCTCTGCTTGTTTAAATTGGGTCAGTAGCTGGAGAGAAAAAGAACACTCATTTCATTTCCACGTGTCCTTCTTTCATACGAAGAATATCATTTTGAATATATCACACAATGTTACGGCTCGTAGTATAGAGCATGATCAAACGCTTCCTTTAGGCCATCCCCCCACCCCCGCTGCCTTGGACCAAAGAACGGGCTTATCTGGACATTTACTAAGCCTGAGAATGCTGGGGCTTTAGGTTTGGTCATACAGTGTGTCCTTGAGCCAAACTGGTAATCATTTGCCAACAAATTCTGGATAAATGTTTGTAGAATGGTAAGACTTACATGGGGCCATGGAAGGAAAACTTTATCAGATATATGTGAAAAGCCCATTCCTGTGTTTGTACACGGCTCCTATTGCTCTGTGGAGATGGGAATGCATGCCTCCGTGAGTGCACAAAGGCAAAAGCGGATGTCAGCCATGTTCCATTTATCCTGAAAACCAGTAAGGCAGAGTGATGGATGCATATGGAACGTTTATATAAGAAGAAAAGGAAAAAGTCTGCAGCCACTTTGTTTCATGTGAGCTCACTTTTCCACCACTTCAACTTTTATCGATCAGCAGCTCAGGACCTGAATCAGACGCAGATAGTAAAAAACAAAAAACAATCATTGAACTTTTTGGAAATTGATTATATTATTTATGAGCCTAATTAATCTCTGAAATGGGGACTTCTTTCTCTTTGGGGCATTGAGGCATGGGGAAAACCATATTTAGGGGTGGCATCAATCACCTGCTGTCCAGGCAATTGTGTGTGACAAGGAGCAGTAAAGCACCTGAGCTCCACCTCATCGCCAGCCTCCTGGGCTACAAATTAATTGAAAAATCCCAAAGCCCACACATATCTCTCTGTGAATGAGATCAGGAACCAGATGCAGGAGCAAAGGCGAGGATGAAAATGGATACTCACAGCTCAAATCACGTCTTTTTTGGTTTGTTTGTTTCTGGGGTGCTTTCTTCTTACACTGCTCAGTTGAGAGTTTCTTTGTAAAACAACAGCTATTTTTACAGCAGCTGGCAGAGCGCTCAGAGGAGCAAACTAAAGCTGCTCGACAAACAGCAGCGACATACAGAGACACACATTCATGTAGAAACTTGTCTGGAAATATCCTGGTCTTTGTTAGATAATGAGTAAGATGTGCATTTCTCCTCCACTTTTAATGAGTGCAGTCCAGATCACACTAACTGTGTCTTCTTCTAGGTGATCCTATGCAGCATGATCACTGCATGGAGATGTATGAGAAAAGAAGGCAAGATGGAGACACATTCTAAAGGGGGGAAAGGAAAGAAGAAGAAACAGTACAAAACCACCATAGAATCCAGTGTCTGATCACTTGTTCCTCGACCATTACCTGAGACGAGGTGCTCCCTGGATGCTCATGATGGTAACACGTGTTGTGCTCCTTGTTCTTTTCTTCTTTCAAGTGGAAAGAAGTGACATTTCACATGCTGCTGGCCTTTTAGAGCAAGGCAAGGACTTGCCAGGGATGTCAAGCAAACAGCAACAAGTCCTAATTCAACCAGAGCCCAGGGACATTTTATTTTTGACAATCAAAGAACTGGGAAGCCATGGTCCAAAGGCACAGGATGATGTAATAACCCCGCCAAACGTAGCTTTTCAACAAAATGGCAGAAACCCTGAGGACTTGGCCTTGGACTACCCAAACAAGAAACCGGACAGACTTGATCGTTCTGAATTTTACCCTGACGTGACTTCAAACAGCCAGAAAAACAGCGGTCTATCTAATAGGGAGGATGAGGGCGCAATTAATGGTCTCAGCCCTTTGTCGAGGTTGGAAAAGGTGTTTGCTGTCCAGCCTGAGCTGGATGTGCACAACAACGTTCGCTCCAAAAGGCCCACAGAGTTTGGGTTAGGGCTACAAGCAGAAGCTTACACCCGCCGCCGCAGGAGCTGGCTCTGGAACCAGTTCTTTGTGATCGAGGAGTACAAAGGACCTGAACCTGTGCTCATTGGACGGGTAAGCATGGATGAATGAATCACCTGCATGTGTTGGATGAAATCATGTTCATGCTTTACCCCTCAGGGTAAGAAAAACCATTTGCATACACATTGTTGTGCATGATTTTAACCTTGAAAAAGATCATTTGAATAATGGCCTAGCACGTCACCCTCTGCCTTTCATGACGGTTTACACTAAAATCATCTTACTGATGAGAAAAGACATCTATTTTTGTCAAACCTTAAAATAATGTTAGGCCCAATCTAATAGATTAATGAAAAATCTGTTAAAGCTGAGGGTATTTGATGGAGCTGACTCTCAGCTACTCCCACAACAAATTTTAGCACAATGTCTGTATAATTGAAGGAGTTATAACCATGTATGTGTTTCTTAAGGAGTTGAGGTCCTAGTTGTGGCCACTATATAAAAACAGATTGACTCCAAAAGATAATCAGTTGTAGATTTACATCGAATAAATGCTTTCTGAAGATTGTTCAACTCTGACCAGCAGCTCATAAGATATTTTGCCAACAGACAAAGGTTGACTTGAAGTGATAAAGCCAAAGTTTTAAAAGAAGATCTTCAGTAACATGTACTGCTGGAACTGAGCTACACTGAGCTGAACACAGCACCTCAGACTGAAGAAGTCTTCCGGATGAAAGATGAAACGTTTCTACATTTTTTGTTGTTTTGCTTTGTGTTTTTTTTTTTTTTTTTTGAATGTCCAGAGGACCAGATTTAACTTTTTTAGATATTGCTAGAACTGTTTGCTGAGAATGACTCTCAGTTACTACCACCTCAATTTCTAGCTTTTTGACTACAAACAATAACTTTACTAATTGTCTTTTTATTTATGTGAGAGTTTCTGTTCCGTGCCCTGAGACGACTTCTGTTGTGACTTGGAGCTACAGTATATAAACAAACTGAATTTAACTGAATATTTTTAAAGTTAATATATTTAAAGTCATTTATGTGTTTTCTAAGTCAAATTGGTTGTAGTGGCCATTTTGAATTGGAACACCAAAGGTTGTAGATCAGTTGTAGATGTGCAACAAATGATTACTTTCAAGAAGATTTATTATTAATGTACACTTTTGTAGTCTACTTTTATATTGGCTTTTGCTAACAGTTTTGACTCTAAATGTTTGATAATGTTTAATACAGCGTGTAGTGCTCAGAGTTTGTTTTGCTGATGACTCTCAGCTACTACCACACCAAATATTGGTGATATCTTTAAGATTGACTGAGTTACACCCATTTCTGTATTCAGTAACATTGCTGAGATGCAGCGGCCATCTTGAATTGAACTGACTTCAACAGTTATTCAGTAGTAGATGTTCAACAATGAGTGTTTAACTAAAATCACTCAAGTGATTCATGAGATATTAAGCTAACATACACACACAAACACAGGCAAAAATATTATTTCCTGACTTTTCCTTGTGGTGGTGAGCAATAAAAAAGCAAGCGTCAGGGTCCTCTGCTCTGAGCACAGTTACAGTTTGTGTTTGCAGTGATCCACGCACAGCGCTAACCTTTTCTCTCAGTTTGGTGTGCTGCTGCTCACTCGTCATTTATCTGTCAGCATCTCCCATCTTACTCTGAACCTTTCGTCTCACTGACTCTGACATTTCCAACCAATGTGGGTTATGGCGATTGGACTATGTGGTCATTAAACTGCATTTTTTGTTGTTGCCTTCAACAAGACTGGAGAACAGTTAGATTCAGTTTTGTCTCAAAAAAACTTGACCCATTACCAAGAACATGTTGACCGTACTTTGAGGTGGAAAAAATTGGTGTGTTTCCATCACTTCTTAAAAGCCACAGTTTGTTTCAAAATGCTCTAAAGAACATAGTGTTAGGAAGAAACTGGGTTTTATCTGGTGTAGTGAACTAGACCTGAAGGTCAAAACCTTGACCTAAAGACCATATGGGACAGGACTGTCATTTCATTGATTTGCATCTAGAAATACAGGTTGACCCATCCTGAGACTTTCTTTCTTGAATTGATCAAGTAAAAGAAAACTACTTTCTATTATCATTACCATTTTACAAATGTTTGATAATCAAATTGTGTTTTAGTTCAAACCATCTTTAAATGTTGAAGTGAACTAATCATTTAAATCAACTGTGAAACAGTAATAATGATTCTTAATCCTCATTCAAAGAAGAAATCAGGTTAATATGCATTTCTTGATTTTCTGTCTTCAATGAGAGAAGTTGTAAGTGTGTCGAAGTTCAAGTTTCGGTCAACTGAAAGTTTACTGAAAAGAAATGTCATGTTTAACTTTTACAGCAAGATACTGGAAGAGGCGACTCCACGAAGTCTGGTTCCTTCATAATATCTTTCTGTCTGTTCTTAAACAATCTTAATCTTTTCCTTGACTTTTCATAACACCTTACATCACAAAACACACCTCTGTTTCGGTCTATCGACCAATCAGAGAGTTCTCAAATGAACCGGAAGTGAGCTTCTATAAATGCTGGAACTTCCTAGTTCAAACTAGTTTTTAGAGCTCCAAGAGGCGAGCTCCAGGTTTTCGAGCTCCAAGAGATGAGCTCCAAGAGAGAGCAGTAGCAGTAAGCAGTTGAGTTGTCAGCTGATGATGGAGAGTTCTGTGAGAAGTTAAGAGTTCAGCTCAGTCTTGAAGCTGCTGTAAGCTCAGTCTTGAAAATGGAGTAGCAGTTCTGAGAGTTTGGAGTTCCAGAGTTCATGAAGGCTGGAATTCAGGATGCTGCTGAAAGAGAAGCAAGCTGAACCAGAGACAATGTGGGAATTATGAACTTCTGTTTCGGATAACCTCACGACTCCAGAAGTTTCAGCTGTTCTCACGGAGACGCTGAAAGAGTTGAAAGGAGAACTCTACACCAACGCTGAAACTATCTTCAGAAAAGGTAAAAGTTCGATCTCAACCAAGCGTACCGTTGGGCCAAGCTGATTTCCAAAGGAGCGTGCATGTTCTGGTTAAAACAGACAAATTCCCTCACACATCTCTCTGTAGATAAACCTCATCTTTCCATCTTTAAATTCTCCTATCTGCTAGCAAATTAATCCAGATGTTTTACAGAAATGTCTGTGGTGAAGCAACGGAAAATCATGGCCGTATGGTTTTCCTGGTTGTAAAGCTGATTAATTATGTCGTTATTTTCAATTTTGCCAATTAATGTAAATGTATGATGTGTTAAACTTGATTCTGTTAATAAATGACCCACTGTCGTGGTGAGTCAAAGATAATTAACGTCTCACGTCCACATTTTACTACATTCAATGCACGTACATTATACAGTCCAGAAAAATGAAAGAATCCGTTTTAACAGTATGAATATATGACAGATATGTTCATCTACAACTGGTGGCCCGTTACGTGTTCATAAATGGACTGTATTCGTGTAACAATGAATATCATGTTGGCATGAAAAAATTGCAGATTCTGGCATGAAGGAAAAAGTGCAGATTTTGCTGTGAAACGCAGCTGAGCTGGATGCTTGGAGAAAACACTTCATGTTTGCAGCTAGAGATGCTTTGAAGCTGATATTGTGAGTCAATATGTCTTTATGAAAGCTGAAATTGTACATCTGTTGTGTGTAGCTAAGCCGATGAGCTGTGGAAAGCGTTTATTCTGTTTAAAAGGACGGAGTTTCTGCTGCAGACCCGGTTTTGGTCCGGTTCTGAGAAGTTCGAACGAGTTTGTTTTAAATGGTTTAAAAGACGTTTTGCCACGGAGCGCCGCCTCCGTTAAAGCTGAGAGCTTGATTTGTTACATTTTTTAACAGAAAATGGTGCATTTTGACAGTTTAAAAGACGAAAAGTTGACGGACTTTGTTCAGGCTAAGACTAACATGCTAGTTGGAAAAACGCTGCGTGATTGGTTGAATTCAGCTGAGTTGGAACGCTGTGATTCGCTGAGAAGTGAGTGACGTGCCTACGTCATTTCCTCTCACCCCGTTGTTGCTCTGTCATTGGTAGATTCAGTCACGTGACCCGGAAATGAAAACTCGTTTTCATAGGGATTTTCAATCTGTTTTTAAAGCTGAAATAAGCTTTAAAGTTGCATTCTAATTCGCTGCCCGTTTGTTTGAAGCTCTAATCGCTGAAATTTTGCCAAATTTGAGTTTGAAATCCGTCATTAAATGATGTTTTTGAACAACGCTAGCGATGCTAATTTTAAGCTAACAGCTAACGACCGGATGAGTGACGTGTCACGTCACTTCCTCCGTGTCAGATGGTAAAGCTTGGTTGCACCGAAAGCCTTTGCTATGCTTAAAATCACTAAATAAATTTGCCACATGTCCCCTGAAAACTCATGTTCATGCAAAGAAGTCGTGCTTGTTGAAACAACGCCAAGTTTAAGCTTTAAAACCGTTCAGAAATGTTGATTTTAACCGAGTTTAGCCGAAGCTAATTTTAAGCTAAGCGGCTAACAACAGGATGTCAACAGAACGTAACAGGACGTCGTCATAGACTCCTGCTGGTAGAAAGCTAAACACTGCCCCCTCCTGGGAAACTTGATATCACAGTTTCACTTAGTTTTAGGTTATTTTGATGAAATTAGACGTGCTTAGACGCATTTATTGAGTTAATAAACGTTCTTCAAGTTGAATAATCACTGTTATCTTACATTTAAAAGTAATTAAGGTATTTATGCAGAAAGGCATTTACCAACACATTTTTATTCACTGGTAATTTCCTCTGATGGAGGTGCAAAATAAAAAATTAGAAACTTTTTAAAAAGATACAGTTACAAATATTCACAGAGTTGATAAAGTTTACTCATTTGCTGGAAAGATAATACATATGTTCAACTACACTGGAAACACATCTCAATGGGATTAACCTGTAGGTTGAATGAACCTTCCCTGGTGTGTGTGTGATGTGGGTACCTGCACATTATGACAGTAAATACATGCTGTTGTGAGGTAGAACAATTTGTGTCAGACTGTCCTGAGATCTAACAAAGTTAGGTCAGGTCCTCTGGACAGATTCAAAAAATTAAAATTAAAAACTTGTTGAAACATTT